CACGGTCGTCCGCAGGCCACGAAGTGAAGTGTCCGAACGTCATAGGGCGGGAAGCTGGGTGTGGGTGGTGGCGAAGAGTCGTTTGGAAATGTGGTAGAGCTTGAACCGGCCCCCCCACAAAGTGGGGGTGTTGGCGGGCGTCGTATGAAAACCCTGGCACTGGTGAGAACGGAGTGTCCCCACGTGCTAGTAATTGTTGTTGTTGTTGTTGTTGTTGTTGTTGTTGTTGTTGTTATTGCTGTTGTAGTTGTGGTTGTTGTTTTTGTTTGTTCGTCTCTCTATTTGTGTTTCTGTTTCTCCGCTATACTTTCTCTCGGTGTGCCCCTCTTCCATCGGAAGAGAAGGAACAGGAGCAGGCGCAGGCGCATGAGCAGGAACATGATGACATTGGTTTATCGGATAAGCGTTGAACTGGCGCGCGGGCGGCAGCAATACAGTATATGTGTGTATGAACAGATATGCAGTTGAATCGTGCGGGTCGCTAGTCGTGGGAGTAGGGGGATGAGCAGGAGGATGCGGCGGTGGTGGTGGTAGAGGAGGAGGATGATGATGATGAGGAGGAGGAAAAGGAGCAGGAGGAGGTGGAGGAGGAGATGAAGGAGGCTGCCTCAGGTGTTCCAGAGGGGCAACGCTATGGGGTGATTGGCGCAAGGGGGGGCGCATGACCCCCAATCGCCCACTCATCGCCGATTTGGCCCGATGGCCCGCCCCGCCCAGGAGAGTGCAGATTCGCTCTGCGCGATCTGCCGCGTTAGCGGCCCGTGAAAGACGTTGCGTAAGTGCGGCGTGTCCTCACGCGTCGTCGCTCAGAGGGTCTCCAGGCCTCCGTCGTCGTGAAAATCTCAGCGCGGGGTTCCCGGAGCTCTGAGCCCTTTCCGAGATCGTTTTCTGATGGGCCCGCGTCCACGGGCACGGAAACGGCCCTCGAAGGTCGAGCATTGTGAAGCATTTCCGCCGCGTTTTTTTGTTCTTCGAGTTGCCGGAGGCCTGGGTCTTTGGAGGCCCCGCCAGGTTCCCACGTGCGCCTGCGGGAGGTCCCTGGAGACCTGCAGAGGGCAAATAACTTTACCACGAAGCTGGATGTGCACGACCGGGGTCACCCAAACATACTGATACTACAAGTGCGTCGCCCCCCAAAAGGGTCGTCGCGCGCGCCAGGAAATCTGAGTGTATATCGTGTATGCTCGGCGGCGGGCGCTTTCTGGCTACACAGTCAATCCGCATCGTGAGGAGGGGCTGCCTTCCCAAGGGTACCCTTGCATCCTTGCCTCCTCGGTCCATCCTTGGCCACTTTCGCTGGCCGCGCCCCGCTCGGCAAGCTTCGAAGTGGCCTTGCAGGGCCCTTGCACCTTTAACGTGCATCCTGGTGATACGGGTCGACCGTACTGCTCGGGAGACGATCTACTGCAACATGGTTCTACTATGTGTTCGGGTCGGACGTGCGCCTCCAAGGGGGACACGGCGGGCCAGCGTGTCCCTTTGCACCCCATGCGGAGGATGAACAACTTTTCCACGGCGCTGGAGAGTGATCGTTCTCTTGTTCATTGTTTTGCCGATCGGCGCGGGCCCTGCCCCCCCCCATGGAGTAGATCCTGGCTGTTTTTGGCGCCTGTTTCGAGCAGGTGCAGCAAGCACGAGGGCCCCGCCTCCCCATGGGCTTCCCTATGGAGCACTGCTCCAGACAGGTCGCACTGAGCATAGGTCCGGAGCCTGACCCCCCCCCTCCCCCTCCCTTCCGCCCAGTGCCGAAACACTTAACAAGAAAACGCTCACATTCGGGACCTCGCAAAGGGGGGGTGCCAGAGGGGGGGGGGGGGAGTTCGGTCCGTTGGCGCATCGAACCGCAGAAAAACTATGCAAAACGAGGTCTCCGGCCGCAGCCGGAACCCGAGAGGCGTCGACAATCGGGGCGCGCGGGGGACACCGTTTTTCGGAAATTCGATGCACCAGCGGATCGAACTCACCCCCTCCCCTCAGGGTCCACCCCCCCTTGGCGGTGGACACCGAGAATAAGAATCAGGAGGGAAAGAAACACACGGACACAATTAGTCGTCGACTCCCCAGGAAATATGGGAAAATATGGGAAGTGGGGGGGAAGACAAACACCCAGAACATATGGGAAAATATGGGGAATCCTTTCATGCGTGTGTATTTATTAGTGTGTCCCAGGGCGCCTTCGAAGAAACCGTTCCCGTACACGCGCCGCGGCCGGCCCGTGCGAGCGTTGGACGCGCACTCGGCCGCGCGCCTCTCCAGCGCTCGGGGGCCCTGCCAGGGGCAGAGGTACCCCCCCAGGCTTCCGCGCGGGCGTCCCGCGCGTGGCCTCCAGCTGCGCCGCATGCTACGACTCCAAAATCGAGCGTGTCCCTCTACAGGAGGAATCTTCCAAAGAGTTTAGAACATAAAGTGGGGAGGATTTTTTTAGGATGTGTTTGGCAATTTTGGTGTATTTTTTTAGTATTCCTCTCGCTTCGCGGGGTGCACGTCGGGAGCACGTACAGTCCAGTCGTTGTGAGGCCTCCTGGGGGCCTCTAGGAAGCCTCTTGGAAGCCTCTTACGGGCCTCTTAGGGGCCTCTTTGGGGCCTCTTGGGGCCACTTGGGGACGTTTTTGGCCGTTTTGGGGTGCTCTTACGCCGTCTGGCTCCTTCGGAGGCCGTCCTGGAGGCATCTCGCCGTCGCCTTGGGGCTCTCTTGGGGTCCTCTTGGGCCGTCTTGAGGGCCTCTTGGGCCGTCTCGGACCCCTCTTGGGCCGTCTTTGGGGGGCCTCTTGGGGCCTCTTGGAGGCCTCTTGGAGGCTGCTTGGGCCGTCACGGCCCTCGGAGAGCAGAAAAAACGAGAAAACTAAAATCTGTCAAAAACCGCAGGAAATCGTCGATTTTGGCTTCTGGAAAAGTTATAGGGGGTCCTCTTGGGGCGTTCTTGGGCCGTCTTGTGGGCCGCATGGGCCCCCTTGGGGCCATCTTTGGCCGTCCTGGGGCCGTCTTGGGCCGTTTTGGGGCCATCTTGAGGCCCTCGTGGAGTCCCAGGAAGCCCCAGAGGCCGATATCATAGATGTTCCATGCGTTTTGGTATGTTTTTTCGCCCCACGGAGGGGGGCCAGTTTGGTACGGTCATGTGGCGCGCGGCTCCAGGGGGGGTAAGGGGGGAGACATGATAATGTAACACAATACAATATGTACCAATTATGGAATCATGGGATACATTTGATACGCTACATTATCGCCTTTGCAGAAAACGCTGCCGCTCAGCACGTCGCTTCAGGACGTGGATTCATTGGCTTACACCACACCGCCGACCCCTTGGGGCGGCAGCAGTCGTCCCCCGCGTGGCCTGTCTGGACAGCCTGCGAGGCCCTTGTAGACACGTGGGGCGCCAGGAGGCCGTCGTGGAGCCTTTTGGAGAGTGTCTTGGGGTGCCAGAGGTCGATCTTGGAGGTTTACTGGGCCGTTGTCGGCCTCGTGGAAGCCCAAGAAGCGAAATTGCTGAACATGTGCGTTTTCCCTCGGGAATGGGACGCTTTTTGCTTATGGGGGCCTTCTTGGAGCGCCTCGTGGTCGCGTCTGCAAACGTCTTGGACACCAATGGGGCCGTCTGGAGGCAATCTTGGGCGGTTTGGACCGAATCGTCCCCCGCGTGGGCCGTCCGGACAGCCTTTGGGAGCCCTCTTGCCCCGTTTTGGAGCCTTCTTGGGGCCGTCCTGCGGCTTTCCTGGGCCGTTGCTATGGTTTCTGGGGCCTTCGTGGATCGCCTGGACTTGGAGTCTTTTTGGGAGCTTCTTGGGCTGGCGAGGGTCGATATTGGAGGCTCCTTGGGCCGTTTTGCGCCGCGTGTGGAAGCCGAACAGGCGAATGTGGTGAAATTGTACGTTTTCCCTAGGGAATGAGAGTTTTTTGGCTTCTGGAGGGCCTCTTTGGGGCGCCGCTTAATATTATTTCAAACGGCTTGGGGACTTCAGGAGTCGTGTGGGGGCAATCTTCGGCGTTTTGGGGCGATCTTTCGTCGATTCGTAGCTCTCTTGGACTGTTCCAGGAACCTTTGGAACCTTTTTGGCTCGTATTGTGTTCTCCTGAGGCTCCTAGTGTGCGGATGATGGATTTGCCCTCCCCCCCCCCCCCCCCTTCCTCCAAACCGGCTGGACCAGGCCCCGGGGGGAGGGGTTTGGGGAGGGGGAGGCATCTCACACGCCGTGGCCCCAAGAAGTCGGCGGATTTTATATTTTTCGCCCAAAATCCGCCTGTGGGGGGACAGGCCCGACCTAATACTACTCGGCGGCGAGCGATGGGAGTGAAGTGAGAAGGAGCAGGCCTTCTCAGAGGGCTCGGTAGTCCCCAAGCCTTCTGAGAAGTTTTCTGAGCCTTCCCCGAAGGCGCAGACAGCTCCTCAGAAGGCGCGAGGGCTTCTGAGTAGTCCCGCCGCCTTCTGGGAAGGTCTTCTCCTCCCCACTTCTCCCCCTCGCCCGCCGCCAAAGCACAGCCATGTAAGCGGCGCAACCAGAGTCGGGGCCGTCTGCGCCGGCATTGGCGTGCAGGCTGTCCGCATGAGGTCGCGCGTAAGCGTCCTCGTCTCCGATGCGGCGTGCCGCGCGGGCGGCCCGCGCAGGTTGCGGCGTCAGGTCGCCGTGCCACCCTGCGCAAGACCCGCTTCCGATCGTCGCTCGTGTGTGCAGTTCCGTCCTCCCTGAGCGCCCACAGCGTTGCGATCCTGGGCTCTGGGCCCAGGAGGGGGGAGGTGGCCGGGCGGGGCCAGGACGAGGATGCATCGATCCCAGAGCATTTTGGGGCGCTCTCGGAGCGTTCCAGAACGCTCTGAGAAGGCCGCGGGGCCCGACACGTCCTCCGGAGCCGCCAGACTTCGGAGATTCTCGATGATCACCCTGGCTTCCCGTTCTCGATTCTAGAGTGGGCGGGGGAGGAGGAGGAGATCCGCTGGAGGTCCCGGGGGCCTGCCCCACGGAGGCGGTCCTGTGGCCCTCCGCGCGCGTGGCGGATCCCCGGGAGAGGAGCCCGAGCCCGTGCACGAGCAGTACCACCGGAGCATGCGCCCGGTCCCCGCACCCGTGCCGCGCCCGGGAGGAGGAGGAGGAGGAGGAGGAGGAGGAGGAGGAGGAGGAGGAGGAGGAGGAGGAGGAGGAGGGAGGAGGAGGGAGGAGGAGGAGGGAGGGAGGAGGAGGAGGAGGAGGAGGAGGAGGAGGAGGAGGAGGAGGAGGAGGAGGAGGAGGAGGAGGAGGAGGAGGAGGAGGAGGAGGAGGAGGAGGAGGGAGGAGGAGGAGGAGGAGGAGGAGGGAGGGAGGGAGGGAGGGAGGGAGGGAGGGAGGGAGGGAGGGAGGGAGGGAGGGAGGGAGGGAGGAGGGAGGGAGGGAGGGAGGGAGGGAGGGAGGGAGGAGGGAGGGAGGGAGGGGGAGGGGAGGGAGGAGGAGGAGGAGGAGGAGGAGGAGGAGGAGGAGGAGCCGAAGGGCCTTCGAAGAGGTCTTCGCAGGTTCCATGAGGCCCTCCTTGTCTCCCGGAGGACGTTCACGACATGGCTCATCGGGGCTCTCTCGCCTCGGGGTGCTCCAGGAGCAGTGCCTCGTCCAGAGCGTCCCGGGCGTGCCCAGGTCGTCCCGAACGGCCGCCGCAGGCCCGACTTCTGGCCCGAGAGCCCCCAGGCGCCAAGGGGGGTGAGGCCTGTGTTTGAGTCGGGCCTGTCCCTCCTCTACAGGAGGAATATTCAAAAACGGTAAAAGAAGTATGGGTACGATTTTTTTTTGTTTGTTTTGCATGTTTGGATTTGTTGTTGTTGTTGATGATCATTTTTGATATTTCGTCCAAAACCGCCTGTAGGGGGACAGGCCCGACTTAAGCTTGTGTGTGTGGTGTGTGTGTGTGTGTGTGTGTGTGTGTGTGTGTGTGTGTGTGCAGGAGTGTCCTGCCAGGGTGGGTGCCCGAGGCGGCCCCACGACTGAGGGCCCCGCCGCGCGCGTCATTGCCCTGTTCTGCTCGACTCTCTGCTCCTCGTCGCCGCGCGCGGGGGCGCGATCGCGCAGAAGTGCATGTGTGGTGCAGCATTGCGTCGGGCACGTCCCTCCACAGGAGGAGTATTCGAGAATAGTAGGAAATGGAATGGCGACGATTCTTCATGCTCCTTCGAGTAATTATTATTTGATATCTGTTGGGACGAGTTTTCGTGCTCCTTCGAATTTTATTGTTTTCCCCCCTCCCTGAGTGGGGTTCTTGTTCTTGTTTCTCCTTCTCCTCCTCCTCCGCCTCCTGCGCCTACACCATACCATACCTGCCGTACCCTACCAATACCATGCGTACTATACTATTACGTACTCTGCTATACCCTACCATACCATACGTATTAAGCTATACCATACTTGCCATACCATACCTATCGTATTATTTACCATGCCCTCGCCCGAGCGAGGAGGGTATCCCAAAACCATGCTATTTACAAGGTTTCGCGCCCCTCCCAGCCCTCCAGGCAGGCCCCGACTGAGCGAGGACGGTTTCCCCAAACCGTACTACTTACAAGGTTTTGTGCCCCTTCCGGCCCTCTAGGCAGGCCCCGCCTGAGCGAGGGTATCCCAAAACCATACTATTTACAAGGTTTTGTGCCCCTCCCACCTCTCCGGGGATGCCCCTCCCGAGCGAGGAGGGTATCCCAAAACCATATTATTTACAAGGTTTCGTGCCCTTTCCACGCGTGGGGACGGTCCCACTGGCATCCATGAGAGAGCCCTGGCACACCGCAAGAACGCTTAATACGAGCCTCGACATTCCAAAGGGGTTCTACACGCGGCCGAGGAGCCCCAAAAGACTTGCCATATGTGCCTCGACACCTCGACAGGGCCCCACAGAGGCCTCCACGATGGCTCCCACACGGCCGCAACCATCAGGTTTCCGGAGAGCCTTTTGGAAACGTTATTCTCGCCGCCCGTCATCGGAGCAGGAGGTTCTCCAGTCTCGCAAATGAGCCCCGTCACACCGAAAGTGGCACACAGAGGCCTCCACGAGGGCTCCCACACGGGCGCGCTTTCAGGTTTCCCGAGAGCCTGCGGGACCATGGTTGTCGTCGCCCATCATCAGAGCAGGCAGTTCTTTAACATTTCTTTGTGTTGCCCTTAAGAGACCTTTGCGAAAGTGATCTTGGCAGCCAGTCCGAGGAAGACACGAGAAGGAGGATGATGAGGAGGAATGGCCGACTGCTCCAATGCGCTTCCGTCTATTGCAGCCCCGCTCAAAAACAGTGTCGCAAAAAAAAGAAGACGATCAGTGGGTGCTGGGGAGGGGGCTGCGCATACACAGTTATATAGTTATAGTGATAGATGTGTGGCTATATATATATATATATATGTATATGTATGTATATATACACATAACATAAGCAAATACGACGGGCCCCCTCCCGGGGCGTCCTGCACCTCGCTCACATCTCGAGTACGCTCCCGGTACCGCGCTTCCCGGCCTCCCGGGGAGCCCCCACAATGCCCAAAGACAGCCCAACACGACCCCAAGAAGCCCCCAGAACGTAAAAGCATTGCCCAAGGCGCTCCCAAGCAACCCAGGATAGCTTTCGGGCGGCTCTCCAGGCTCCCAGGAGTCCTCCAAAAGACTTCAAGAGAGCTGAGAGAGGCTTCCAGAGAGCGCCCAGAGAACCTAAAATCGTTAGTTTTCATTGTTTTTGTTCGAGGTTTATTGGCCTTCTCACCATTTCATGCTTCCAACGCTCCAAGACGGCCGAAGAGGCCCCCAAGACCACCCCGAGACCGCCCAAGAGGCTCCCAAGACGGCCCCAAGGCGGGCCAAGACGGCCCCAAGACTGCCGAAGAGGCGCCCTGGACAGCTCCAGACCACCCCAGAACAGGCCCAAGATGAGCCCAAGAGCGGGAGCAGGAGGCCTCCAGAGACCTCTGAGAGGATTCCGGGACCCCCCAGAGGCCTCCAATACACCCCAGACCCCTGAGATGCTCCCCAAAACTCCCCGACGAGCCCCCCCAAACAGCCCAAGAGAACTTCGAGAGCCGTTCCGAGAGAGCCCGAAGAGGGTCAAATCTTTGATTTTCAGTGGTTTTTGTCGACGTTTTACGCCTTCTTACGTTTTCCCGCTTCCAATGCCCAACGCTGCAAGACCGAGGAATTTAAAAAATGGAAATTCCAGAGATTTCTTTTTTTCAAGTTGGGATTCCTACTCCCTATCCTCTTCCTCGAGGCCCATCAAGACTTCGGGGTCACATGTGAAAATGTTTCGGGAATGCTGTTTAACTCTCTGACGCTGTCTTGGCACTCTCTTGGATCGTCTTCGTGTCCTCTTGGCTGCCTCTGAAACCATGGGAGAGATAATCGAGATCCCATGATCCGATGAGTTGAAGCAGTGGAATTTTGAATTACATTTTTTCAAACTCACCCCCTTGCAAAAAAGGGGAATCTCACCATTCCTTTTTTGTCCAAGTTCGCCCCCCCTGTCTACTCTTGCACAACAGACCACAATGAAGGCCCCAGAAAAGAACCCAGGAAGCCTTCGAGGGCCTCAAATCTTGGAATACCGAACGGCAATTAATGATTTTTGCGTTTCCGCAGATACACTTCTATGCGATTCCGAGGCGTGCGCAGGGCCTCTAAGAGGGTCCCCGGATGCAAGAAACGACAAGGATGATATTCCATGTGTTCGCCCATCAAGCCTAGCTAGAACTTGAGCGCGCACGAAGCGCGCGCGATAGTTCTAGTATCCTTTTATGTATATGTATTTGCATATGTATATGTACATGTGCATGTATATGTATATGTATACGTATAAGCATATGTATGTTTACAAACATATGTATATATATGTTGATTGATATGTATGTGTATCTGTGTTTATTCATGTATGTACACATGCAAATGCATATGTATATGTATATGTGCATGTATATGTATATGTATACATACATGTACATGTACGCATATATGTATATGTATATGTGTATGTGTATGTATATGTATATGTATATGTATGTGCACACCTATATGTGTATGTATATGTATATGTATCGGTATATGTATAGGGGTATGCATACACACATATACATACATATGCATATGTATATGTGTATGTACATGTTTACGTATATTTGCATGTGTATGTATGTGTATGTGTATGTGTACCTGTCTATGCGCATGTGTATGTACATGTGCATGTGTATGTGTGTATATATATGTATATATGTAAAGGTATATGTGTATGTACATGTATATGTATATGCATATGTGTACGTGCATGTATGTGTATACGTATATGTATTTGCACATGTATACGTATATGTATATGAAGTTGTATCGGTATCTGTATTTATATAGGTATATGTATATTCATGTGTTCATGTATATGCATATGTATATGCACATGTATATGCGTACACTTATATGTTTATGTATATGTATATGTTTATGTATGTGTGTATGTATATGCATATGTATATGTACATGTACATGCACATGTATATGTATATGCATGTGTATATGTATCTGTATATGTATATGTATATGTGTAGGTGTGTTTACGTATATGTATATGTATATGTGTATGTATATGTATATGTATATGTATATGTATATATATATATATGTGGATCTGTATATGGATATGCATATGTATGTATACACATACATATATATATATTTATATGTATGCATATGTATGTATACACATACATATATATATATATATTTATATGTAGGCGTATATGTACGTGTGCATGTACATGTACATGTCCATTTACATGCACACCTATATGAATATGTACATGCTTAGGCATATGCATATATACGTATGTGTATATATATGTATATATATGTATATGTATATGTAAATGTATATGTATATGTATATGTATATGTATATGTATATGTATATGTATAAGTATACGTATATGTATATGTATACGTATATGTATATGTACATGTATATGTATATGTATATGTATATGTATATGTATATGTATATGTATATGTATATGTATATGTATATGCATGTGTATATGTATATGTATATGTATATGTATATGTATATGTATATGTATATGCACTTGCACATGCATATGCATATGTATAGGTATGTATTCACACATGTTTATATATACATATGTATACAGGTGTTTGTATATATATGTATATATATAGAGAGAGAGAGAGAGAGAGAGAGAGATAGAGAGAGAGAGAGAGAGAGAGAGAGAGAGAAAGAGAGAGAGAGAGAGACACACACATACATAACCCCAGGGCTTCCCCGACTCCGCCACCATTTCCGGCAAATCCCTGGTACCAACCTGCCGGGCGTCCAAGAGAGCCCCTGGAGGGCCTGAAGACGACACAGGACGCCCCCGCAAAAGCCTAAGAGTGCCCCGAGGCTGTCCAAGCCAGCTCCCCGACGGTTTCGGAAGCGCCCAAGAGCGCTCAAGATCGCCCCAAGAGGGTTTCAGAGTTCCCCAAGAGCTCCGTGGAAGCTCTCGACAGGCCAAAATCATTGGAAAAGCAATGGGAGATCTATAATTTTCTGTGTTCTCGCACTTCCGCTTCCGACACGCTTCCGAGGCTCGAGCATGGCCCCACGAGAGCTCCAAGAGGCCCCCGAGAGGCGTCCCGAGCGGCGCAAAGTGGCCACACAGAGGCCACACAAGAGGTTGCCATGACGCCAGAAGGGGCACCTCCGAAGCCCCAAAGACGCTCCGAGCAGGCCCCAACGAGCTCCCAGGAGCCGCCCCGGAGGCACCCAGCGCCGAAGGGAGCCCCGAGAGGCCCTCGAGAGCTCTCAAGAGGCCCCCGGGAGAGCTCCAAGATGCCCCCAAGAGGTGTCCCGAGCGGCTCTTGGGGGCATGCGCAAGCCTCGGAAGCGCATGGGAGGCGGACATGCAAGAACACAACATTCATACATTTCCCTTAGGTTTTGCAATGCTTTTGGGCTCTCGAGGGCTTCCCCGGAGCTTCTTGGGGGACTCCTGGAGGTCTCTTGGGGCGATGATGGGTGCTCTTTGGGGCCTCCAGAGCCAACTTCAACAAAGGAGATTTGCTCGCATATCCTTTTTCAAGTTCGAACCCGCCCCATCCGTTCCCTTCTGTCCCAGGCTGCGGCGTGCCCCAGAGTGCCCCAGAGTGCGTTTCCGTTTTCGTTATCATTTTTTTGTTTTGTTTTTGTTTTGTTCTCTCTCTCTCTCTCTCTCTCTCTCTTTCTTTCTCCTGCTTTTGGGTCTCTTGCGTCTTCCGTTCCTCAGCCTTCTCTTTCCTCTCCTCCTCCCCTTCCCCCCGCTGCGTCATTTTCCCGTCTCTCCTTCACGCCTTCCTCTCTCAGCCTCCCTCATGCGTTTCTGTCTCCCCCACCCCTCATCCTCATCTCTCCTTCATTCCTTCCTTCCTCCGCCTTCCTCACTCAGCTTCCTGCTCCACCATGCAGTGGGAGGCCCAGCTTGAAAACAGGAATTGCAGCGAATCCTTGTTTTAGGGCTCCCCCCGTCTGTTTCTTCCCTTCCCAAGCTTTGGCGTGCCCCCGAGTGCGTTCCTAGTTTCCCCATCTCTCGCTGTCCGTTCTCCCTGATCTCTCTTTTCTGCTCCTGGTTCTCTTGCGTCTCTCGTTTCACATCCTTCTCCTTCCTCTCCTCCTTCCTCCGCGCTGCGTCAATGTCCCGTCTCTCCTTCACGCCCTCTCTCCGCCTTCCTCATGCGTTTCCGTCTCCCCCCATCCCTCGTCCTCATCTCTCCTTCATTCCTTCTCTCCTCCGCCTTCCTCACCCAACATCCTGCTCCACTATTGGTGGGAGGCCCAGCTTGAAAAGAAAGCACGGAAGTCCCTCCAATCTTTTTTTTCGTCAAGGTCCATCTCTTCTTGTTTCCTCTTGTCCCAGGCTTTGGCGTGCCCCCGAGTGCGTCTCCAGTTTCCCAATCCTTCGCTTCCCGTTCTCTCTGATCTCTCTTGTTTGATATTGTTTCTCCTCCGTCACCCGTTTCACGTCCTGTTCTTTTCTGTTTTTCCTCCCCCCCCGCTGCATCATTTTCCCTCCTTCCTTTTCCTCGTCTCTCATTCACGCCTTTCTCTCTCCGCCTCCATCATTCGTTTCCGTCTCTCCCACCCCTCACTGTTCGTTCTCTCTGGTCTCCTCTTTGCTCGTGGTTCTCCTGCGTCTCCCGTTCCACGTCCTTCTCCTTCCTCTCCCCCTCCCTGCGCACCGCTGCGTCTTGTCCTTCTTCCCTCCCCCTCGTTTCTCCTTCACTCCTGCATGTTCAATGATCTTGGCCTCTTGATGGCTTCCTCGGAGCTCTTGGGGGACTTTTGGAGGCCTCTTGGGGCGATCTTGGGTGCTCTTGGAGGCCTTCAGAGCCAACTTAAGTAAACCTCCTGTCCCTGGCTGCGGCGTGCCCCAGAGGGCGGTTCCGTTTTCCCCATCCTTCGCTGTCCGTGTTCCCTGATCTCTCTTTCCTCCTGTTAGTTCTCCTCAGTCTCTCGTTCCACATCCTTCTCCTTCCTCTCCTCCCTCCTCCCCGCTGCGTCATTTTCCCTCCACCCGCCTCGTCACTTCTTTACGCCTTCATCTCTCCGCATCCCTCATGACTTTTTCGTAGTTCCATCGCTCCAAGAAGGACGAGGAGGTCCCCAAGACAGCACGAAGACGGCCCAAGAGGTCCCCGCGACGGCCCAAATACGACCCAAGAGAGCGCCAAGACGGCCAAAAAGGCAGCCAAGACGGCCCAAGCCGGTCCCAAGACATGGGCAAGAGCGGAGATCCAAACCAGACGCCAAGGGGCCGGGGGAGGCACCCGAGGTGCCCCCCAAAAGTCCCAAGAGGCCACCATGAGACCTCCAACAAAAACTGAAGAGGCTCCCACCCCCCAGAAACCCCCAATGGCCCTCCAAGAACGTCCCTCAAAGGCTGGGCATTTCCCCTTAGGCTGCCTAGGGTCCTCCTCGTGGCTGCCTTGCGCGACTTCCTGGAGCCTCATTGAGCCACTCTTGAAGCGTCCATTAGGAAGTACGCTCCCACATAGTGATCCTTGCGGGATGATGCCCACCCTCATCCAATGATGTGAGGTTGGTTAGGACTGCGCTAAAAACCAAGCTCGCGCGAAGCGCGCGCGTGGTTCTACAACCACTGCGACCCCACTGCGAAAAGGGCCCTTCGCGAAGCGCGCGCGCGAAGCCGCAATCCCACTGTGAAAGGCCCCATTGCGAAGCGCGCGCGCGAAGCCGCGACCCCACTGCGAAAGGCCCCACTGCGCAGCGCGGGCGCGAAGCCGCGATCCCGCTGCGAAAGGTCCTCGGCGGGCGGGCGTCCAAGCAGGCGAGCGGGCGGACCAGACAGAATTCTGAGCACCCGGAACGTACCGAGGCTCGATGATATCTGCACGTGTCGGGCCCCGGGAGGCGATGCTCGGTCGACATCGTTGCGAGCCCTTGCGGGGTGCTCGAGGCTGTTTCTGCGACGTGGCCCTTCAGCACGAGCTGTACAGCCCGACCCGAAGGGGGCGGGTCGGGCGGGCAGACCCTCGCGGGCGGGCCGCGCGGGCGGGCCCCGACGGGCGGGCCCGGACGGGCAGGGCGTCGAAGGAAACTCCTGGAGTCGCAGGACGCCGCGGGCGAGAGCGCGCTGCTCCCGGGCGTCGAGGCGCAGCGCCCCGTGCCGAGCCCGGCGTGCGAGCGGGAGTTGTGTGTGAGGACGAGGGGCGCGGGGTCTGCTCCTCGCCCTCGCCCTCCTCCGCCTGCTCGCCCTGGGCCCTCGTCCTCCTCCTCCTCCTCCTCCTCCTCCTCCTCGTCCTCCTGCTCGCCCTCGCCCTCCTCCTCGCCCTCCTCCTCGCCCTCCTCCTCTCGTGCGGGAGTTGTGAGGACGTCTCGTGCGAGAGCGCGACTCCTGGGCGTCGAGGGCGCAGCGCCGGAGCGAAGTGTCCGGAGCCAGCAGGTCTACCTGGCCGCGGGGACCGTGCAGCTCGCCCTCCTCGCCGCCGCGGCGCTCAGCGGCGCCGCCTCGCAGGCCGCCAGGCCCCTCCGCGGAGCAGCGCCCCCGCCCTCCGCCCTCCTCTCTCTTTCCTTCTCCCCCCCCTCTCTCCCCCTCCTCCCCCTTCCCTCTCCTCCGGCCCCCCTCCTCCCTCTCGCTCCCCCCCTCTCTCCCCCCCTCCTCATCCCCCCCCCACCCTCTCCTCGTCTTCTCCCCCCTGTCTCTCCCCCCCCCTCCCCCCCCCCTCTCTCCTCCCTCTACCCCCCCACCCCTCCACTCCCCTCCCCCTCCTCCTCCCCCCCTCCCTCTCCTCCTCATCCCTCCCTCCTCCCTCCCCCCTCCCTCCCTCCCCTCTCCTCTTCCTCCCCCTCCCCCTCCCTCCCCCCTCCCCATCCCCCCCCCTCTCTCCCTCCCGCTCCTCCTGCTCGGCGCTCGGGCGCTCGAGGTTACCGTGGCCAGGCAGCCGCCCTCCTCTGCTGCCCTCCCCCCCCTCTCTCGCGGGCAACGTCAAGGGGGAATCAGGCTTAAGTCGGGCCTGTCCCTCTACAGGAAGAATATTCAAACATTGTATACACATAGTATGGGGGCGTTTTTTTTTTTTTTTTTTTTTTTTTTTTTTTTTTTTTTTGTTCTATACATATATATATATATGTACATGTATCTATTATAATGTATATATATAAGACCATGTTTGGGGGTATCTGTTTGAGTATTTTTAAAGTTTCGTCAACAATCCCCCTGTAGAAGGACAGGGCCGACTTAAGCTTAGGCATGGAGCCGACCCGCATACGTAGTAGGGATGGGCAACCTTCCAAGGGCACCCTTGCGTCCTTGCCTCCTCGGTCCATCCTTGGCTCCTTTCGTTGGCCGCGCCCCGCTCGAAACGCTTCGAAATGGGCGTCCAAGGCCCTCGCATCCTTATCATCGTGCGTCCTTACGATGCGGGTCGAATGTAGGGGGGGGACGCATCGACCCCCACAGGAGCCCGATAGCCCGATAGCCCCACTCCGCCCAGGAGCGCGCGGATTCGTTAGCGGGGGCCTGTCGCCGACCTATCGGCGATGCATCGCCGATGCCAGGTCGATGCCCCCCCCCAATGCCAGACCCCCTCTCTCGCTGCCCCTCTCCCTCCCCCTCTCCCTCCCCGACACTGGCTCCTGCCTTCACGGATGCAGACATCACAATATCGGCCCATTTTTTTTTTTTTTTTTTTTTTTTTTGCTTTTTCCCGCACATTCAGGAGCACCTGCGGTCGATACCTGCACGGACGTCGACATCGGCTCCGACTCCTGCTCACAATCGCGCCTCCCGTGGGCCCGGGCCCTCCCCGCGCCGCCCTCGTGGGGCCAGGCCCCCGCGGGACGGGCACCGCGCGCTCGCCTCCCCTCGCCCCTCGCCCTCCCCCGCCTCCGTGGACTGCTTGTTCGCACTGCACCTCTCGACTAGACGTAAGAGTGACCTTTCGCCGGAGTGACCTTTGGTGCGGGCACAGATGGGTCCCCAGATGGCTAACATCGAGGCAGTAACAGCTGCTTGCGCGCCCAGGTTTGGTCCCCCCGCCGCCCCCAAAAAGTCGCGCACCAAAATTCGCTCTTACCCAGGGTCACTCCTGCGTGTAGCCGAGCCTCGTTGGCGTCTTCCGAGACGTCGTGGATCCTCAACTCAGGAGTGGTGCGGTGCAGAGCTGTGTGGCCCTCGGAGCCGAAAAAACGGAGCGGGGCCTGAACGGAGTCCAAAGGTGGTACGGTGCATGGGCGCCGTTCTCGCATCTCACCTATCTCCCTCCCTCTTCGTCGTTCGAAGCGCTCACCGCGAAAGCATCTCCTTTACCATCGTTCTCACTGCCACTCACTGCTTGTATCAATGTGCCCAGCCTGCCTCACTTGTAAGTGGTCTGCGTCCCGATTCACACCTCCAATTCTCACCAAGGGTACGCCTTTTGCAGGCTCCACGTTGTGTCCAGTCCAACGCAGTCAGTCGACATGCAAGTCATGGGGCTAGCTGCGGATTGGGCTGGACTTTCTTTGCCCTACCGCGCTCGATGCCCTTCTATCCTTCCATTACCTGTCATAATTCCCTCTCATTTCTCATCCGCAGCCACCGGATGACTGAGGAGTCCAAAAAGTCCCAACGCTCGAGGTCCGGGTCTTGGGCGGGCACGGCTTCATGCAGGCGGCAGCTGGATAGTTTTTTTCGCTTTCCAGTGTAGCATTCAACTTCGCAGATGCCAGCTGCGATCAAACAGACCAATCCCTCCTCTCTCTCTCCCCTTCCCCCTCCCCTCGTGGATGGTTTTCATCTCTCCCCCCCGACCCCTCCGTCCCTCCCCACCCGAGAGAGGTCCTTGGAGCTGGAGATGACCCTCGCGCCCGGCGCTTCGGCCACGCCCGCGCCCCCTGCCCGCCTCCCGGGGTCGCCGCCGCCGCCGTGGTTGTGGTCGTGGTGGTCGTGGCTCGAGCGCGCGGAAGGGTGGCCCTTCGCCGGAGTGACCCCTGGTTCGGGCCCCTCGGGGGCTCCCGACCACCGAGTGCGATGCGATGCCAGCAGCATGCGCGCCTGAGTGTGGCCTCCCCGCACCCTCGGCGCAGAGGCCCTCTCGCCCAGGGCCACTCTTGCCTGGGCTCACTCGCAAGGGTCCCCTCACCTGGGTGACGGACGTCCCCCGTCGCAACGTGCCCGCACTCGTGACAGAACACCAGGCCGCTCCGGGCAGGGTCCTGGATGGAGAGCGACCCTAGATCAGAGCGGCGCTCTTACCTGGGGTCACTCTGACCCAGGGTCACTCTTGCCGCGCGCCAAAGGTCCCTTCTCGCCTGGGGTCACTCTCGCGTGCAGCCGGGTGGTGGCGGCGGCCGCCGCTCGGTGACCCAGTCGCCGCAGAGCGCCAGCGCCGGTGCTCCCGGCCCTCGCGTCTGGCGGCCGTCGCTCCCCGTTCGCAGACACTCGTCGGTAGCGTTCTGTCTTTAGGGTGCGTCAGCGTCGATTGGCGTCTGGTACTGTATGGCACAGCGCCGAGTTAGCGTCGACGCAGCCTCGATTCGCGTCGATCAGCGCCAATGCGCAAGAGCCAGCAAGATGGTATGCTAGGCTCGCGTGACCAGGCCGCAGGAGCAGGCTCTCAGTGCAAGGTGTTCGTTATCTCTGTTGAGGCGTTCGCGCAACTCGCCACACTGGTCAATGTACTGAACCATCTGGGCACCGCTCCTAGAGTTGTTGAGCTGGTTTGGGTCGCGGCCGCGGCCGCCGCCGTCGTCGTTGCAGGATCGGGTGAGGGCCAGTCGAGACAAGGTCGGCATTCCCTGGCGTCTTGGGCCTCCTGGGGGCTTCGTCGCCAGGCTTGGTTTGTCCGGGGCACAGGGGGGGGGCTGACTTGAGCGGATTGGGGCTGGGCGGGTCAGCCACCGTTGTGTCAAGTGTTGGCCCTCCGCCGATAGGGGGAGGGGGCGCGGGATCATGCATGTCAGGAGGAGCTGGCGGAGGAGGAGGAGAAGGCGGAAGGTCGTGAGGAGGAGGAGGAGGACGAGGAGGATAAAGCTGCAGGAGGCAGCACCATAAGCTTGTTGCATGCCATGTTCCGTGCCCGTCGAGCAGTTCCATGGGCGTGTGCCATGGACTCCTCGTGCTCCTCCCCCTGCAACCCTCCCCCCTTTCCTTCCCCTCCCACCCCTACTCCTCCTCTGTTCCCTGCTCTAGCACTTTCATTAGGTGTTCGAGCATGGACCCCTTGTGGAACGCAGCCCTGCAGCTTTCGCACCAACTACCGTTGGAAACTGCCACGGACCGCCAGAAACCGCCGAAAGTCATCGAACAACGCCGAGGACCGCCGAACCCCGCCGAAGACGGCCCAAGGCCGATGGGTAACACGGTGTCTATGTTCGAATACGCTGCACTCTAGCGCAGCGTTTCCAGCTCTTCTACACGGTGTTTGCGGATGCTTCGCATGACGGCCAGGCTACAACGACGACGCACAGCCAATCACGCAGACCCCCGCAGCGGCGAGGGTAACGCGGTCCTCGTCGTAGGCCTCCAGAGGCCTTCGAAGGCCTCCATGGGCTTCCAAAGACATGCGTGGGGGGGGGAGGGGGGAGGGGGATGTCCAGCTGGTGATCCATACCGGCGGCTGTTGACCATCGATGAATCGCAAACATGGACTGAGGCGCGTGGACTAGTGACGGGTCCCGTTTCTGTGCATATTCGCAGCGCTCCGTCGCCAAATCGGGCGGCATTGGCGCCATGTTTCGGAGGTTACGTTCCCCGATCTGTGGCTCCTTCCGCGCGTCAGATCCACGGATCGCTAATCCATGCCAGCGTGCGCCCGAGACCTTCTGTGCTCTCCTCCCCGCCCCCGCGAGGCATGCGTGTTCTCGCTGTCGGGGGCCGTGTGAGCGACCAGGCGGACGGGAGTGTGCCACGTAGGTCAACCCAGCTCCTCTCTCTCTCTATCTATATCTACGTCCAGGACTGTTCGCGCACGTGTGTGTATGCGTGCATGGGCACAGCCCCTTCCTCGCGCGTCACCATCTTCAGCAGTGCCGCTCGACTGGTCATCCCGCGGGCGAGGGTATCGGCGCCCGCTCCGAGACGGCAGCCCGGGGGAACTTTTATATCACGAGCGCGGAGAGCGAACGTGCGGCGTCGCCGTGTCACACGTCCGCCCGTGCCAGCCGGCAGAAGGAGAGGGGGGAGTGGCAGCAGGAGCGGGACGGCGAGGGGGGATGCCGACGGCGAAGAGCGGGAGCCGAAGGGGAAACAACGGCGCGAACGTAGATTTTCGGCGCTCCGCGCGAATTTCTTGGATCTGCGCCGGACCTCCCTCCCTGGCGCGCGGCGCGCGCCAGGGGCGGCGCCGGAGGCGCCGCTGGGGGGCCCCCGCGCAGATCGAAGAACTCCGAGCGGAGCGCCAAAAGTTCATGTTTACGCTGGTGTTTCTTCTTCGAGGAGGGGGGGTCAGGAGGTCGGCCACGTGGCGCACACTCCGTGTGGCAGCAGCAGGGCGGCAGCGTGAGGCTGCGCCAGGACCCGCGGCGGCGGGCGAGGGCTCCCAGCCTCCTGTTCCCCCCCTCCCCTCCTCCCTCCCCTCCTCCTTCCCCCGCTCTCCCTCCCCGCCTCTCCCCTTTTTCCCCTCCCGCCTCCTCTCCCTCCCCTCCTCGTCTCCGCGTCCCCGCGTGCTCCTCGTCCGCCCTCGTCTGCTCTCGTCCGCCCTCGCTCGCCCTC